GACAAGAGATAATCACAAAACAAACAGAACTAAAATTACTGAAAAAGGTGGAGATTGCGACTCGCTGCTTAATGGATATCTAGGAATTCCCTTAACTTCCGATAGCTGTGGTGGTGTTTGACCCTGTCCTGACTGCTGGCCGACAAACGAACCTCTGCTTTGCTGTGCTCCATACACAGATGCAACATCCAACGGCATGAATGGCTGAGCCGCGAAATGCTGAAACATTCAAGGCATCAACAAAAGCGGATAGACGAGAAAAAACAAGCAGAACCAAAACTTACGTCTCCGCTGACTGCCGCAATGGTTGGGAGCGATTTATTTTGGCCACCTGCAGGAGATCCTGCCATTGGATAATTTCTACCGCCAGACTGGACGTGATTAAAATCCTGACGACGATATGCCTCATTCATCTGAGGTACGTTCGACTTCTAGAAAAAGATATTTCAATGAGAGAGGAACAGAATCTGAGGATACAATTGATGTAAAGCGCAACAGGTATTTGTGAACACCTTATGAAACTTGAATTAGGCTAACGAGAGAACCGTTATCAGGCATGCGACGTCAGAGCTATCAGTAGCTATCTATGCTTTTTTGGAGTACAAGAAGAATGAGACTAGAAACCTGATGGGATGGTTGAAGGGGCACCGTCCGTATTAATCAAAAAAGAGCAGCGAAAGATTTAAAGATTTTAATCGTGTTTACTGTCATCTAAATTCAAGGTGACAATATATTTACAGATTCTGACGACAGTGAATGGATAAAATGAGCTGAAGGAAAGAGAGAAAACAACAATAACAGAACGTATGAACGTGGCAAAATAAGGTTGTTAAAAGTTAGAGAAAATGCGGCCTTTGGAGCAAGGGCCGTCGTTATCACTGCGACTATAATTTTAATTCTTACGATGGGCAACGGGTAGCGAACCATACTGATTGACTGCACGATCATAAATTCTAAAACCTGGGGCTAACATTTGTCAGGAAGTACAAAACTGCATTTATGTGTTCTAGCTCTGCAAAAGTCACGAGCAACATTATCGTAAAAATGTCCCCAAGCATATACATCTCCAACATATTCAAACAATTTACTGATCCGCTTTATCAATACATGATGCTGTGCTAAACTATCATTGCTTCTTTGCAATCTTAATTACATTTACTTTCACCGTCATTTGATGACCCATTCCACTGTTA